CCCGGGCTTCAGTAGTTGCAGCATGTGGGCTCAGTAGTTGTGGCTGGCGGGCTCTAGAGCGCAGGCTCAGTAGTTGTGGCCCACAGGCTTAGTTGCTCCGTGGCATGTGGGATCTTCCCGGACCAGGGCTCGAACCCGGGTCCCCTGCCTTGGCAGGAGGATCCTTAACCACTGCGCCACCAGGGAAGCCCTGGATGTTCCCCCATCCCGCTGGTAACTCCCTTCGTTCTCACGCTGTAGCCAGAGGGATGGCGCCCAAGGGCAGAGCTGAGCCAGTCCCACGGCCTTCAATCCTCTCAGCGGGTGCCCACTGCTCTTAGATTAAAGTTCAAACTCACCCACCGGCTCACAGGCTGTGACCCCTGCCCAGCCAGGGCAGCTGCCTCTCACAACACACCTGGCAGGAACCCAGCGCTCACAGTGCGGCCGGAATGCTCCAGGAGAAGACAGCACAGGGGCCAGGTGGCATCGCCGTGGGGCACCCACGGGCTAGGGCAGGAGTAAGAGCAGGACGGGCAGGAGGAGCGGCCCCACCCGCGCTCCTGTGACTTGGTTGGTCCTCAGCAGATGACAGAGGGTCACCTGCCCTCGGCCCCAAGTTCCCCCGGTAACCGTCCTTGGGGAGGCTCCCAGGGACCCCACTCCGCTGGACCTTCGAGAGGGTCTCCTCAGTCCTCAGCGAATCCCCGGGGGCTTCGGGACACAGCAGCCGTGGGAAGGGGTCCCAAGGTGGGTGCTCAGGACAATTTGTGCCAGCCTGGCCTCCCCCTGAGGAGGGGGGCAGATCTCCATGTGTGGAGAGGCTCAGGGAGACCCTGTGCTGTACCTACCTTTCCTTCCCGCCCAGCCCATCCACCCACCCCTCTCCTGTTCCTTGTCACCGTGACGATGAGAGCAGAGGAAAACCCACAAGCCAGAACCCCAGCCGAGGGAGCTGGGAGCCTCCCGCTGCAACTAGCCGGCAGATCAGGGCTCTCGTGGCTCCAATGCCACCCTCCATCCCCGCCGAACATCTCATGCTGATGGGTGCTTCCTGCCCTCTCAAGGCCATCCCAGGGCCACCCTCAGTGGGTGCGGCCCAGACCAAGTCACACGGTGAGGTCCCCTCAGTCCTGGGAGAGACGCCAGGCCCACACGAACCCCAGGAACCTCACAGGTGTACCTAAAGCTGACAGCCCGCCCCACTGGGGGCCTCTGGTAACTTGTTCCCGGCCCCTCCCTCACACACACACTTACAGGACCCCAAGACTGGCCATCTGCGGCGGGTGGCAGACACTGAGGTGGGAGCTGGCCTCTCCTGCGGCCAGCTCAGGCCGCCGGGACAGGCCCCTGACCCCAGAGACCCCTCCCCGCCCAGCAGATCTGTAGCCTGGGCCCGAGGGGGGCGGGGAAGAGGTCCTTGCTGTGGGCTGTGCGTGGACAAGGCAGGCTGGTCCCTCACAGCAACAACTCGTGAAAAGGTCACAGTCGTGGCTCAGTGGACACAAGCACCACAAAGAGACAGGCTGCTTGTGCTTTTGACACGTTATCGGTTTTTATTTAAAAACATGCTAAAAACATGGCGTTCCGTAAGCCAGGACCAGGAAGAAGGAAGCGCACAGATACGGCATCGCAAGCAGAAAAGTGCGTTGAGACCAGCACGCGTGCCCCCCC